AGGATAAGAGAGAGAGAGAGAGAGAGAGAGAGAGAGAGAGAGAGAGAGAGAGAGAGAGAGAGAGAGAGAGAGAGAGGGAGAGAGAGTTTTGCGTGTATAGCGGATATGACGACAAAAAAAACAAAATTAATAAAAAAAAACAGCAGCGTAACAACAACGGCCCCACCCCCTCTTCGTCCCTCTCCTCTGCCGCAGCGTAGCGGGTGCACTTGTATAAATAAATGAAAATAGGGGGTAGCCCGTATCCTTATTATATCCATCTCAGGGACCGCCACATCTTGAACTCTGATCCGATTATTGATAGTTAGGTGTTTGTCGCATCCAAAGCTGCGTCGTCACGATTTCTGCTCTCTGTTTTGGTTTCTTGTCAGGTACAAAATTCTTGGGCTAAAACAGGAACGTGGAGCAGGAAAGCGAGAGAGGGGATTGCTGCGTCTGGGCCCAGATTAAATTGGCTGTCTCCCGGATACCATCACCATCAGCATTGTTTCGCCACCGGCATCACCACGGGCTTCCCCGCCCTCTCGCCTTGTCTACAGACAACGGCGACATCGCCTCTCTCTCTCTCTCTCTCTCTCTCTCTCTCTCTCATGTGCAGTGGAAGGAGGGAGGGACGGGTAGTTGTGATCGGTGCCACGATTTATTGCTCGCCTCCACAGCCTCGCACTCTCTAACTTCTTTCGCTCCTGGCTCATAAGCTTACCCACTGATTTCACAGGGCTCGTCTCCTGTCGGAAAGAGGTTCGCTTATAACGGAGCAGCGTCTCGTACGTGTCAATCTTCTGTTCTTCTGCGGCCTGATTTGTCTTTTCTACACTGCGGTATGATATTTTTGACTTTCCAACCTCACATATTCTCCTCCCAACATATTCTTTTGGGATAATTGGTAGAAAGAGCCCACGCCGAAACCTTTTCGGGTTTGGCCGCCCAAAGTTAGGCCGTTTGGTACTACCGGCCCAGATGTCTTCAGCCTGGGTGAAAGGCGCCTGCACGCCGTGGCCACAGCTCCGTTGGCCTGGATTTACCAGTTGACGAATTTGGCGCTGTTTTTCCGCTAGATTCATGAACCGGTAAGGCCCTTCTTTTTCAAAATACGGTACCGGGGCCTCATTCTATCCTTCAGCGATACCACCCTCGGCCTCTTTTACATCAAAATGAATCTGGCGCTGTTTATGCGACAGATTCATGAACCGGTAGGGCCCTTGGAGCGACGCGTGGGCCTGTAGTACCCCAGATGGAAGACATTGGGCCGGGTAGTACCAGACGGCTGAACTTTGGGCGGCCAAAACCGAAAAGGTTTTGGCTGGGCGCCTTATACCAATTATCCCTATTCTTTTCCTATTGCCCTCCACGTGCGCTGTGATTTGGAAACATTTGTCTCTCTCTTATCATCTAATTCATCTTCCTCTCTTCGTTGGAGTGCAGACTTGATTTGAAACTGATTTGTGGCTCGCTATTCGTCTGGTCTCGACCCGTCAGCAGAGACAGCTAAGATACTGGATTCCTATTCCTACTCTTCCTGAAAGCCACGGTGGTACGTCGAAGCAAAGAGGTATATTAGTTCCTTATTTTTTTTATTTTTTTTTTTCTCGGTTTTGCAACGTATTATGTTTTTTTATCTTACTCCGGCAGGATCCGAACTCTTGATATGCTCGCTCCGCCACATACGTTAAGTATGAAGGGTATGCTTTCCTTCGCTTTCTCCTCTGACTCCAAAGCTGAATTGTCAGTCGAGAGGCTGGACCATTCCTCGTTGTTCTTTTTTCCTCCATGTCTCTGCCACCACCTGGCAAGAGCGGGCATCTGCTGTACCCACTCTCATCTTGCCATCTGTCTTCTCCATCCGAGTCCGGCATCGAAATGCTGAGAAGCAATAGGAGACACGCAGACTGTGACGACTTCAGCGGATGTATCTGACATCAATCATAGGCGATGTATCTGACTGTTCTAGTTGGAAGGTTAAGTTCAGAATGTCCAGTGTGTGTGCCGTCCTCGGTTCTGCTTCCTTCCTCATTGAGCATAGCAGAGTGGAGGTCAGGCACAGAACCATCGAACACAGGTGCTGTTAGGTGCTGTTAGACGAAGCTAACCAAGCATTGGAATGTTCTTGTCTTCGCTTTGCCTGCCAGACTTCTCTGCTACGTCGCTTCAAGCTTTTCTTCATCACCATTCGGCCGCTACTTCTTGTCAAGCTGTTTTTCGTCATTGTCTCGCTGCTTTTTCTCTTCAAACGGTTTTTCACCTTCCTTTCCTATACCTGCCGTCGCGTTTTGCATGCTGTTTCATTCCGGTCATTATTCTCTTCACTTCCATTCCTCCTCTCCGTTTCTGTTTCTGATCTTTTCTGTTGCCATTCGGGTTTCTCTCCGCGCCATTTCTAGCAGCCCCATTCTTCTGTTTCCAATCATGTTCCGGTCGTTGCGCCGCGCATTCAGTGCATCGATCAGGGGAGGCCAGGATGCGCGAAAGGGACGCAAGCCCGACGCATCCACCGTGGAAGGCGGGGTCACGCAAAAGGGATGCGGACCTTGTGCGTCTACCATGGGAGGCCCGGATGCGCAAAAGGGACGCAAGCCCGGCGGGCGCACCATGGATGGCGAGGACACGCCAACGGGACTAGAGCCGGGTGCATCCACCATGGCAGGCTGGGACGCACAGAAGGAACTCGAGTCCGACGCATCCACCATAGAAGGCCTGGATACGCAAAAGGGACTTCGCCTGGCACTGAAGTTCATGGAGCGAGTTAACATTGTGGGGGAAGAACTCTTTGATGTGCACCGGTGCAGGCCATGGATTGCTTTTGTCTCTCCTGAAAAGCCTAGATTGCTTCGAGTGTGGAATTATGAGACCGAGCAGATGGTTTCTGAAGTTCCCACAGGAGGGAAGAATCATGATGGGAAACTTTGGGGGGTGAAGTTCATAGGCCAGAACGATCGGGTTGTGGTCGTCCTGGAGCACGAGTTGGTTGTCTATGAGACCTTGGTTGTCGATAAGATCATGGGAGCTTCCGATTTAAAGACGGAGGAAAGGAAAATATACAGGAGATTCCTCCTCAATATTGCTGATTTCAGCAATTGGGCGGTACATTCCACTGCCCAATGCATAGCATTGGCTGTGCATTCCCCTGTTGGCTCCAACTACAAAATTTACTTTTGGGATCTCGACCATGATTTCCACGAAGAAAGAGGAACCAGTTTACCTGACATTACCATCATGCGCATCCATCCTGTTGAAGCACACATTTTTGCGACCGTGCATAATAACGGGACACTCAACATGTGGGATGCTAAAACCATGAGTGTTCTGCGAACATTGGAAGGCATGGGCGAAATTACTTCGCTACAATTCTGCTCTAAACCCCAGAAGTCTCTTATCGTCACCGGCCATATGTCTGGACACCTGAGCATGTGGAATTATCAGAGTAAAAAAAGGGTGGCCATTTTCCCTGTCCATGGCGACAGAGTTGTGGAAGCCTTCTTCCATCCAGAGTTACCGTGCATATTGAGCGCATCCCTGGATGGCACCATCACGGTCTGGAGTGCTTCCGTGGAAAGGACTATCTGCAGTGGCCTGAAAGGATTCTCTGGCCAGGCTCTCTGCAGAAATGGCATTACGTTTGTGCGTCCGTGTAAGGACACATTGCGTTTTATGACAATACTTCTGCCTGACGGAGATGACGTACTAAAGATGAAGCAGTTGGAGACCGTGTTGAGCACTGTAAGGGCAGAGAGGAGGGCGCTCGAAGAGGGATTTGAGAAAGAGATGCAAACACATGACCAAATGATAACACAGATTGACGGAGAGATAAGAAATTTGAGGATTGAGAGTCAGGAACTGAAAGAGAGATTTGAGAGACTTGGATCAGACCATCAGAGGGAGAAAGGCATCCACTCAGAGAGGGTCAAGCAACTGGAGACTGCAGTGAGCGACGTAAGGGCCGAGAGGAGGGCGCTCGAAGAGAGATTTGAGGAGGAGAGGGAAACAAATGCAGGCAGGATAAAGGAGCTTGAGACTGAGCTTTATAATGTGAGGGTGGAGAGGAAGGGATTAGGAGAAAGATTTGAGAGCTTCCAATCAGTGCATGACATGGAAATCGGCATGCACGCAGAGAGGGTCAAGCAGTTAGAGATAAAAATAAGCAATCTGAGGGGGGAAAGGGAGGCACTGAAAGAGACATTTGAGAAACAAACGGTCAGTGTTCAAAATCCGGAATGTGGTGTCGAGACGGGAGGAGGTGCAGACGAGAGATTGGAGAGGTCTGATGGAGTGCCAAAGGGGGTTCCTCAAGTGGACTCGCATCCATTCAGAGAGTTTTCCCTGGATGAATTAAAGACTGCCACAAATGACTTCCATGACGACTGCAAACTTGAACAGCAACATTATGCATGTGCTTACATGGGTAGGATAACACCAATCACGGTGAAGAGACTCGAGTACGGAAAGAGCATGACACATAATCGGCATGGCCGATTGACGAGGGAGCTTGTGGACCTGTTGAAATCTCTTCAACACCCACACCTGCAGATTCTGCTGGGAGTGTGCTATGCGGGAAATTGCCTTGTCTACGAGTACATGGCCAATGGAAATGTGAAGGAGTGGATCTCCTCCGCCAAAGGATCACACAGAAGCTTTTTGCCGTGGTACGTTCGCCTGCGGATTATGGCTCAGGTTGCCAAAGCCTTGTCCTTCCTTCACTCCAGTCCGTCACTGGGAGGGGGTCAAATCATCCACTGCAATATCCAGCTCAAAAATATCTTCTTAGATAGTAACTTTGTTGCCAAAATCACAGAGGTCGATATGGCCTTGCTTGCCCCACCGCCTGCTGAAGATGGTGAAACAACAGATATGGATAGATTCCATGGAAGTGATGCAAAGTACCTGGCGCCAGAATTCTTTCGAACTGAGGTCTTCACTCCGCAGACTGACATTTATGCATTCGGCATCACCCTTCTTGAGATGCTTACGGGGAAGTTCAAGAACACATTGGGAATCATGGAAGATGCAGTGGAAGATTCTGCAACCTTCAGAAGTACCCTGGACCCAAATGCAGGAAGTTGGGACATCGATCTTGCTTTTGAAGCGGCCCGGGTGGGGCTGAGATGTGCGAGCTTGAACAAAAGTGACCGACCGAGAATGACGACAGGGGAAGGTGCTATTCTGCCAGCGCTGGAAGGTCTTGCTGAAAAGGCAGAACTTGTTAACTCGCGCTCGAAGAGAGTAACCGGCTCCGAGTGTTGAAGGGAAAGGGTGGGTGTGAGAGGGCCGAATGAGGAGGTAACCCATGATGATGGCATTTGCATGCCCTCACTTAACAGCATACTCAGCCCACGTGGAGGGAAAGTCTTGATTTCTACTCTGTCAGTTTCCTGATTCGACTCTTCGTAATAAAAGGTGTTCAGGTCACAAGTTTGCATCTTCCAAATGTTTATGTTTTCATTCACTCACTGGAGATCTAACAAATGACTCACTGGCTTTCTCAGATACCCAGTCCGTCACTCACTCCCCAACCACTCACTCGCTCACTAACTAATACTTTCATCCATAATGCCCACTTACCCAGGCAATAGATGAACCATTGAAGGAGATGACAGATAGCGTCGAGTCCATCCCAATAGGGAAGAGGCCAGTCATTACATTTGTTGTTTTCTCTCTTTGGATGTGTGTTTTCACTGTGGCTCATGAAGAATGGCTCTCTTGGATCTGCACATTAAGGTTTACTCAACTTTACTGTTTGAATTTCTTCTATATATGTATGCCTTAACTAAGAGTATATGGATGCTGTTTTGTCATCTGGTGTCCAGAGCTTGGTTTTGCCCTCTTGTTCTTAGGGCTTTAACGACTCTGTGCAAGTGTAAATACTCCTGCGTATCCTCATGGCAGCGTGCTGCAGCATTCAGTGGTGGTGCTCTGGCTTCTGAGTGAGAGTCGGGAAGCATAATGTGAAGTTGGCGCTGTCATGATCTCTAGTTTTAGACACTTATTTCTGTCAGGCAGCGGGAAATTGTTTACCTGTTAACAATATAATGATGAATCTGGTGTGCTTTGTGGATGTGCACGGTTGCACTGCAGTCTACTGAGTTTTCATATCGTTTTGGTAGCCTAAAGTAGATTAACTGTCATTCAGTGTTCCTTTCCCTTCTGCAAATCTTTTGACACAATGTCTGCTGGGAAAATTTGTAGAAGACGCCCACCCAAAAACCTACTGGGCTATCAAGGCCCAAAGCCCTCAGGTGGGCTGATTCAGGTCTACAGTTTTCTGTACAGGTACTGGGCGCCTTCGTGCGGTGGCCACACCTCCTTGGGCCTCTCTCTACCAGACTGTGAATTTGGCGCTGTTTCTATGCCAGATTCATAATCCGGTAGGCCCATTATTTTCACTCCGCCTACCCGCACGTCTGTTTACTTGTGCACGGCACCTCCCTCGGCCTCTTTCTATCCCACTACAAATCTGGTGCTGTTCTTGTGCTAGATTCATAATCCCGTAGGCCCTTTGGCCACAGTCACACAGTGCGAAGGCGCTTAGTACCTAGATTGAAAAGTTTGGGCTGGAAGTGCGCAACCCAAAGGCTTTGGGAGTACACACCTTAATAGGTTTTCCGGCAGGCATTTTCTACCAATTATCCCATGTATGCTTCCTTAATTATCCCATGTATGCTTCCTTAAACGGCGCTGCAAGTCAGACTGGGTTCCGTGCCTTCACAATAGGTCGGTTGTCAGTGCTGTTCTGAATGGTTCTGCCGCGAGGAACAACTATGTCCATTGGAGGTAGGAGGCTTTTCGCCTAGTTACTCTATTCTGAAGCTCTTGATTTTTTTATATCTGAACTTTACCAAGACCTACCCCCCGGGGCCCACTCCGACGAGGTTTTCAACCCTACTCTGGAATTCTTAAGTTTTTCCTTTCTCTTTATTCAAGTTTTCAAGTCACTTCCGTCTTGTATGGTTTATGGAGTTCTCCATTTCGTAGGGCCTGGTTGCACTACTGTAATGACCTGACCAAACACGGACTGAGACACAGCTGATTTCTGAGTTTTGCTCATGGACTGGATGCCTTGCTGAGTTTCCCGCTTGTTACTGAGTTCTCTAAGTCTGTGTGTGTGCACTCTTGCTGGTCTGCATGTCTGTCTGAGTGCTTGTAGGCTTGAGTGTGTGTGTGACCCGCAAGGGCACTTGTTCGCTGAGTGGGCCCGAACGGCCAGTACTTACCTGTGGCCGTGACGTTGAGGATTGCAGCGGGGTAAAACACTCAAGTGGCAGGGAAAGAGGCCCGCGACACTTGAAGCAGCGGAAAACACTCAAGTAGCGGGTAGGCCGGTACCACACCAGGTAGAGGTAGATGTGCCGGGTACTCGAGGCCGAGCAGAAGAAGACAGAAGTTGGCATTTTTAGAGGCCCAGTAGTTGCAGGGTAGGTCTAGGCCTGTACCAGTCCAACCAGTCTGAGTCTAGGGCCTGTACTGGCAATATCAGAGTCTGCAATGATGTTTCCCTCCGAAAGGGAGGAGGTACAGGTTGCTTGGGAGGCCGAGCGGCCTGGAGGTCACCGCCCAAGAGGCAAGTGGGCCGCTATATCTTCGGGCTGAGCCAAGAGCCAAGCCTCATTGTCGGTGTGCAAGTTTGGGGACACACTGGTTGGAGCACTGGTTGGAGCAGCGCTAGCACTCAGCTGCGCTGCTGGGGAAGGAGCAAGGACACGGAGGAGGAAGAAGACCAGGACTAGGAGGAGGAGCGCCAGAGGTACTTACCTGGCTATGGTGGATGCCATCTTCATCACCTTGGTGGGCGCTGCAGCAGGAAGGCCCAGTTGGGGCAGAGCTACACCAAGAAGCTTCGAGGCAGAGTCAGGCATGGCAGCCTGAGGCCCTGAGATAGAGCATCCATAGCTGCTTTGTGTTGTCCTTTGGACAGCAGGGCGATGCCCTGGTAGTCCGCCATAGCCTCGGCCTATGAGGAAGAGAGAGAGAGGGGCGGCCATGGCTATGGTGGACCTCAAGTGATACCTGCAGTAGAAGAGGGACTTGGGCATTGATTCTGGGTCAGCCATTCAACATTGTTATCATTATTCTTGGTTGAATAAGAGAGGAGGAGATAAGGAGGAGGAGAGTGGTTGGAGAAGAAGAAGAGCATTATCATTGGTCTATGCTGGTGTACATCATCTTCTTCTTCTTTCTTACTTCTTCTTCTTCTTCTTCTTTCCCTCTCTCTCCTCTCAAGTTCATTCATTTCTTTTTGCAAGTGGACGGCATTGTACTTTCTTTCGAGTTTCTGATAAATTTGTACTTTGAAATTGGCCAGGATCATAACACTACTCTCCATCCGCTAAGTTTGGCGAGTAGGTGCTTGGTTGCACTTACTCGCCAGACTCGGTGCGAGGAAACCTGTCAGAACGTTTTCCCAATTTCATTTTTCAATCTCACGACTGGCTACCGCTATTTTGTGGAGGGTCATCCTCGTGACCTCTCCACAAAAGGACTTCTTAGCGAGTTCACGGCTTCACCAGTGGAGCTCAGGCCGACAAAAAATTTTAACAACACGATTTTAGTTTTTTTCACTCTCCGCACATCCGCCACGAATTGTGGCCGATGACGAGTTGTGCAACTAGGGTGTTGCATACTGTAACGTGCAGACCAGAACAAGAACCGACCTCTCAATACAAAGTATAAGAGAGCACAGCGGAAGACTTAGATACCAATGATCCGAACAATCAATATTGCAATGCAGCCC